GTAACCTTGGCTTTGAAAACCTTTACAAGATTATATCGCTGAAAATGTTTTGCGAGATTATAAGTATGTCTATTTGGCCCACAGATGGACTGTAACTCCACGACCCCCCTCCCCCTAAATTTTAAAATTTGAAAAATGAAAATTACCATCATCAATGCTACTCATTCATTTCTCAATAGTAATTTATATATTTGTAAATGTTTAGTTATACTCTTCTTCTAATTTTATTTTAACAAAATATGTAATTTGTTAAAAACATTAATTTTTTTTAAGAATCCAAACTACCGTCAAAGTAAATGTAATACGTTTATAATTGTAAGTTATGCAGTGTTTTTTAAAAACCAATTGAACCGATGTAAGTGAAGAAAAGCATAACTATTTTTAATAGTATGTGTGGAAATCTAAAAACAAAAAATGAAATCTTTTAAAATACCATAGAACGGAGATTTTTTGAAGCAATTACAAAAAAATACAGACCTATTAAATTTTTAGTTTTAAATTAAAATAGAAAAATACTATGGAAGCAGATAAGTTAATGTGTTAATAAAATGGCATCGATTGAAAAAAAAGATCCAACTAATAGTGACAAATGTTACAAGTGCACACAATTGTTGTTTTAAAATATGAAACGCACGTGTGAAAGTATAATAAAAGAAGAATGCAAAGACTTGTTTAAGACTGTGCGGTATTTTAATTTATTGCCATATTAATTGTTGTCTCAATAGATATACTTAAAGCATGGAGTATTGAATTAAATATGGTTAATGTGTGCGATGTGGGGCTTAACGTGGACCTGCTGATGCTGCCTGGGCTGCCGACATGGGTGGTTTAATGCCCATGAGTTCACACAGCTGATTGCGTATGGGTCTGACCTCTACCAGTGGCATGCCCCAATCAGTTTCGGAAAGCAAATTTAAAATTTCATCCATATTCTCTTCGCTTATCTCACAGACATCACCGTGCAGGGCCAGGGCCTCGTACAGCTTAGTGGCAGTTGTTTTGCGTATGTGCACATGGGTGAGTCCAAGAAATACTGACATTTTCGACAGGACTTTTTTGCACAGTCTTGGCACCTGTACTAATTGTGAATAGACATTAATGCTGGATACCAGTTTATAGAGTTTCTTATGGCCCTTTATTTCCAAATTCAGCAGACGATAAATGTCTTCGGCAAATGTTGAGGAGTCATCCAATAATATTGCATTGATGGAACCTGTAAGCAAAAAAAAAAGAAGTTGTAATGAAATTCATCTCGATATCAAATTTGATTTTCACCTGATGCAATAACAATATCCAAGAAATTCAACATTGGATATGTCACACGCTCCTTAAGAAGATTCTCCTCAAAATTCATTACAATTTCCCTGCACAGTCTTTCAATGTGTCCCGTATGAGATCTCAGGAATTGAAACAATGCTCCCGAAGCATATTTTATAAGAGATTCAGTCAATTGGCCAATACTTGCACTAAGGCCCAACAAGATCCGCTGAGAATATTCGGGGAATTCCAGCAGTGAACAAAACAAGGGGAATGTATGATCAGCAAACAGCCATAGCACTGAATTAACATCTTCGGGGAAAATTTCTTTCAATTTGTCGTGCCGATGTATGTAGGGTACAGGCGGTTCTAAGTGGATCATTTGACAGAGAAGACGACCAGCCAAACCTCTGGTACGATCGATTTTTTCAACAGCTTGTTGCATGAACCCCACAACGATTTGATGAATTTGTTGGGGCTCTAAGATATCCTTGGGACACATTTTTATCAATTCGAAAATTGCTGCAAATAAGTTACTTTAGTAAAATTATATTTACAGCAAACATTTTAAATATACCGCTCATAGCTGCTTCTCTAACCCAGGCTCCAATATCGCCACGATTATCCAATGTATATTCATCCATGGCTTTTAAATAGCAATCAATTACCCTTGTGAGATATTTCAAATTAGCAAATGAAACTGAAAAGAAATTTCACATTTAAATGAAATATTAACTAAAGTAAATGGTTAATACTTACCTCTGGTATCCTGTTCAAAGCCCACACTTTTCACGAGATTACACAGTGCCTTGACACTGTCACGACGGGCTTCACTCCAATCTTGAGTACTTTGAGCCTCTTGCTCTTTGACGGTTTCGCCCACACAAATGGCTTGATATGGTGTCAAAGAGTGTTTTATTAAACTTTCAAGAATGTCATCGAACAGGGGTGTAACCATGAAGAGCGGTAACACACCCAATGCACTTAAATAGCCCATGCGTATATTTTCCTCCTGATCATTGTCGGCACCTTTCAAATAAAACCTAACTATTTCATTGTTGGCCATATTTCTCTCTGGTGTGTTATAATACGCATCGCATAGTTTTGAAAAGGCAATAGTTGCAGATTCTCTAATGGGGGCATTTTTACTCAACAGACATTTATCAATAACATCCTGCCAAGATTCTAAAGGAGAAAAAGAATCCTTTACAAAAAAGTCAACATTTTGGGCTTTGCTACCTACCCAAACATTGTGGCGTTGCCGCAACTTTGGCTGTACTGCAGTTGCGGATGAAATCGGTACAACATTGTTTCATCAGTTCGCCACTCATGCCCCGGAAAAGATCACGTTGTAAAAATTTACCAATCACTTCGTTGACATTACAGATTGTTTGATTGGAGAGCAGAGTTTGCTTCTGTTCCAAATCAACCTCCAATTCATGCAAAGCCAACACGATTTCTCCAATTGCCAAAACACTGCCATGCCTAGTGTTGATATCGATGGAATCAGTCTTTGTAAATAATTTGTCCAACACAACATTTGCCATATATTCCGGAGCCCTGCGTGTCAATTTATGTAAGGCTTTGGCCGTCAACTCTCTTATGGCCGTATCCCAATGATTTACTTTACGATCTACTAAATGATCGATTAATGGTTTACAATATTCCTCATATTGGGCTATGAAGAAGCTTATATTCAAATAGGAGTTTTGTCTCAGGCCAACCGTATAAAAATCTGTTGTTGTGGATATTTCAATGCCATACGGGAAGTTACCGAGACGGCCAACACTTTCTTGGAAAGCAGCAGAGGCTGCTCTGCGACAATTAATTTCGCGATCAAACGAAGCCACTGTTAGTAGACCAGCCGAAACCTGTTGGGCGAAGGGTTTGAAGTCATCGGGATTGTATGACCTGGCAAATGCCCAACACATGTAACAAGCCGAATCTCGTATGTGTTGTCCCACGGACATATACCCTTTCATTTCATCGTAGAACAAAGCTTGCAGCAAAAGTGGTACCAATTCCTTTAGGCGATAAGGCAGCAAGAGACCTCTTTTGGCCAATTCAGCCAAAGCCAAACAGCCACCATGCCAAGCTTCATGTGGTTCCAAAGGATTCAATATGTCAATGACGGAACCAATTACCTCATCGGCCAATTCTTTGGATAAACGATTTGTAACTCGACCAATGCCCTTGGCAGCAGACCAACGTATGTCATTACCACCACTACGCAGAGCTTGTAAAAGTTCTTCGATGACCTCTTCAATGGAATCGGGCACTGCAATTTCATCGTCCGTGCTCTCTTCTTCAACACTCGGCTGTCCATCATCGGTAGGACTTTGTGCAGCTGTGGTATTTTGAGCCTGTGACAGATTTGAGGCCAATGAACGTGTCCCCCTTTTATAACGCCATGTTGCAATGCGCGGCTTTAAATAGACCAGTCCAATTCTTTGGATAATTTTAATGTAACATTTATATTTCAAGAAATCCGAACCATCTTTATACTGGCAGCTTATTATCCATTGGAATAGCTTATCGGCATAGGGCAGTAGATCCTCCCGTTTGCCATGCTTTAATATGGCAGCAATGGCCGCCAGTTGACCAAATTTTATGTCAACTGTGTCCGATTTATGTTGTGACATTACCCACTCCAAAAATCTATCCAAATACAGCTCCTTGATGTCAGCTCTAACGAAATATTTGGCTGCCAAATAAGCAGACATGTTACTGCATGTATCATTTGTGGAGGTATACAATTTGCACAGCTCAAATATGCGTTCCATTTTTGTTTTACTTGGAACACTGTTGGAAATTACTTCACCTTCCGTTCCACCAACATTGACAGCATAGGCATCGAGCCTTGACATATGAAATGGATTCAGTACTAATATGGACATCCACAACAGAAGCATGTAGCGCGTTTCCCAGTGTTTAAATTCCTTTGGATCTTGTTTCTCCAACAGATCCAAGGCAAACTCCAAGTCACTGAGTTCATGGGGCAAGAACTTGACCAACACTTTGTAGGTACGAACTTTGCAAATGATATACAGATACTTGAAGGCAGCATGCATTAAGGGTGTTGGCAAATTGCGATCACGAATTTTCTCCAATAACTTTTGGAGCAGCAACTCCAAATGTGGATCCAATAAATGGGGTTGTTCTTGATATCTTTTGGTTAAAAATAAACGGTCAATGAAAAATGAATAAAATTAGTTGCTATTGTATGTGTGCAATGTACCTGGATAGAACTTCCGTATATTGTTCATAGTTTTTTTCAAATCCAGCAGCATCTGTTCCCTGTATCGATTCGATCATTTGCAATACTTGCTCCAGTTCGGTGAAATGTTCCAAGGTATTGCAAGGACCCTCTTCATCTTTGATTTCATCGCATTGCATCATGATGTCTCGTTCTGGGGAACAATTTATGGGTCGGAATTGATTTTTTACCGAAAATTTTGCACAGCCGGTTGAAGTTTTTTGTTAATGAGTGTAGGTTGAAAGAAAAGTTGTTTGAGACTCACAGAGTGCCTTGATGAGTAACGTTAGCTCTTTTTTGTTGTCAGAGAGAGAGAGTTGCCAAGATCAAACAAATACCATGAGCCAAACAAATCAATAAACATACACATTATTTTAAAGATATTTTTCAGTATAATTATGGCATTTGATTTAACCATACGTTATGTTTTTATTTCCAAGTAAATCTGCCGGAAAACTATCGGGAATAAAAAAGTTTTAAATTTTGTGTTTTCTGTTCTTTGTTCTTGGCAACTCTATACGAATCAATTCAAATCAGCTGTTCTTTTGTTGACTAATGTTTATTCGTGGTCGCCACAGCACAGCTTGGAAAGTAGTATTTTGTTGAAAGGAAACGCTAACTACAGAAGCAAAAACCATGACGTTACCCGAGTTCTTTGGTTGTTCCATGATTGCCTTTGGCCCACCGTTTGCACTGTTTGTCTTTACGATTGCCAGAAAACCAATACGTGTAATAATGGTCATAATGGCAGCCTTCTTTTGGTTGCTATCACTGCTGGCATCGTCGCTTCTGTGGTATGCGGTCGTACCCTTGAGAGGTGTATTGGCCTTTGGAGCTGTCTTTTCGGTACTCTTTCAAGAGTATTTCCGTTATTTGCTTTATTTACTGCTGAGAAAATTCGAGGAAGGTCTGGAGGCTGTGGCCGATGACAGGACACTGGTTGATAACAAACATGTATTGGCATATGTTTCCGGTTTTGGATTTGGTATAATATCGGCAATGTTCTCTCTGGTCAATGTTTTGGCTGACTTGGTAAGTGAATAGGACATGTAATGACCAATTTGATGTTTATCTCAGTGCATTTCTCCCCCTACAGACGGGACCCGGAACATTGGGTCTGAACGGCGGCTCCGAAAGCTTCTTTACGGTCTCTGCTGCCCAGGCTTTATCCATATGTTTGCTACATATTTTCTGGAGTGTAATATTCTTTAATGCCTTCGATACAACCAATTACATTCATGTGTCCTATGTTGTTGGTTCGCATTTATTTGTCAGTCTCATTACCCTGTTGAATGCCCAACAATTGTATGCTGCATCCCTAACAATCAACTTCATTGTAACTGTGGTCTCCGGCATTTTGGCATTCAGCGTTGCTGGTGGTACTGTACGGTCATTTAAGCGTTTCATCTCCTGCCAATAATCCGCAAAAGACTTAATCACTACTCATCCTATATACCCACATATACATTATATACTCCAGACTATGTAGTTTTAGTTGATAACAAAAGACAATTGATAATTATATTTGTATTTAATTCCTAGAATATATTTTATTAAATCTCACGTACAAAATAAAAGAAGTGAACAATTCATCTATGGGAAATATTGGGCTTTGCGCACGGTTATGCCATAATCGGCTAATGCTGGGGCCAAGTCTTCCATGGTCATGGTGTATTTAGTTGGTTTTAGCATTTTAGAGCCACCATTTTGGTTATTGGAGCGGGTCTTACAATGCTGTAGGGCGTCATTGGCCACATCGGAAATGAATTTTTGTGTTGCCACAGATATTAGACGCACAATACGTGGATCGTTGGTATCAAAGCCGGCCGAATTTAGGTAAAAAGATGTAACTGCATCTGGAATTGTGGGAACATAATCTTCCAGTTGCAGCATAAAATCACTTAGTTGAGAAGTCTGAAATAAATGGACTTTGAGATATGGATTGAAATAGCATAGTTATATATATTTGTACCTCTTGACCTGGAGCCGATGCTGTTGCAGACGGATGATTTGGTCCATTGCTGGCGGATGTAGCATTCGCGGGACGAAATATTCCAAAGTTTGTGCCAATCATCTTCTAAGCCTTTCGTTTGTTTTCTCTGCGGATGTTGTTGCTGCTTTGAGTGTGCTATATTGTTGTTTCTGTAATTCATTTCACCTGTTTTGGAACAGTGTTGCCAGAACTCGTTATTTATAAAACACAAATGTAAATTGCTAAAAAATATGCCATGTTCAGACTGGCGTCTGAAATCGGCTGGAACTTGCAATTAACAACAAACTTTTAGAAAGCACCAAAAATTAATCATTTATACGTTTTGTTTTGGCAGTTTCAGACTTAGAGTACGTTAAGGCTACTAAATTCACTCGATTTGATATGTAAATTTCATAACGTCTTCGTAAGTTGACGCATACGTTATGGAATTGACATTTTAGATCGATTGGATTTCGTAAATTACGGAATTCCACTTGTTTTTCGATATTTAAAGGTAAAATAGATTAAAATTTTTCTCTAAGTGCTTCTGCCAATTTTGTGTATGTATGTATATTTTAAAAATCAATGAATAGAAGAAACCTAAATTGCGGGGCGCGCATTAATAATATTAACCAGATTTGCCATGGAATAGAAAGTTTGAACACTTAGGAACATATTATTAACAGAACATCGAGGCATTTCATTCATCTTTCGCGCTACTGGAGTCATTTTAGAAATGAAAAAAAAAAAACAAATAAATAAAAACCACCTGTTGCCTATAATTGACAGGAAGCGGGCATAGCCTCAATCATGGTAGAAGAATATAGGTAGACGCATCGACACAGCTGCTGGGATAATGAACTGTCAAACCAATTTTAGAATTGAAAACGTTGAACGAAAAATTATATAAATTTGTAAAAATTGTTGGAAAACACGAATTGTAATATCCTCCGTATGACGTCGTATAAGAAAACATATTAAAATCTACTTATATTTTAAAGAACATTTAATTTTTTTTGACATATCAATTTTTCCAAGCGTTGATGCATCTACCTGTATTCTTCTGCTATGGCCTCAATGCTGTATTTCTGTAGTTTTACGAAGCTGTTCTACTTCCTTATTGTACCATGAGTTTTTGCTTGGTAAAATTAGGAAGGTAATGTCGTTCCACAATATTTTCACAATTTTGTTTCCAAACAACATTCCATTGTTAAAATATTTATTCTTAAATCCATTGCAAATACACTAATGAGAGACGGGGACCTATTTCCAATTAACAGCGGTAAACATTTTTTGATATCAGGTTATCTTGCTTTTGGTAAGAATACATTTTTGCGTTTTTGGGTTAAAACATAAATGTACGTTATCTAATTAGAAACTTGATGTCGTGAAAATCTGTGATGTTCCATTCATCAGTAGTGGAATTCTCTAACTCATTTTATGAGTTACCGACAAAAGCCGGTAAAATTAAAATTCTTATAATTTCAGTAATTAACGAAAATGTTCAGTAAATTGGCTACGGAATCAAAGTAGTTGCTAAGACCTACCGTTAGATACCAATGTTGTCAAGTTTCATTTTATTTTTATATGTCTGTAAGTTTTTTATTGTCGGTAAGTCAATGAGTTGGATAACCCCACTACAGAACTGTGTTTTTTTAATTTCATGAACCTTACAAATACAGCTGATATAGTCAAAAGTGGATGTACTTAACAGAATTACATATTTTTAGGTTCCTAAAACACGTGTAGTTTCATGAAATAAATACACCATGGTAGAAGAATACAGGTAGACACATCAACGCTTGGAAGCATTAATATGTCAAAATATTTTAAATGATTCTTCAAAAATAAGTAGATTTTTGTAAGTTATCTTATACGACACCATTTGGAAATAGTTATGATACGCATTTTTCAACAATATTTACAAATTTGAATAAGTTTTCATTCAACAATTGCAATTCCATAATTGGTTTGACAGTGCATTGTCCCAGCAGCCGTGGTGATGCGACTACCTGTATTACCATAACGAGTAGTTTCATGAAATGATAATTCTAAAACTGTTAACTATGATTTAATACATCACTCGTGTGTACAACCCGACTTATTTCTAAAACGAGTGAATAAACGTCCACACCTTAAAATCCCTACTTTCTCAGCTGATGATGTTTGTTTTGTATTTCGTCGGCTATTTTGCATCACATCCATTCGTAAACAATGTAGCATTTTGTTTTCAGTTTATTTTTATTGGCATTCTCTTTTGCCTTTCTCATTTGTTTTATTTGGAACGTTTTTAAATTAGTTCGGTGCAACTCTTGGTAAAACATATTTGTGGAAAAGAAAGAAATAAATTTCTGTTTCTGGACACACTGCTACAAGGAAAACGGACACATAAATAATTTTCTATAGGATGGTAGTTAGCAACGATGAAGAAGTCGAATCCACTGAGTATGTAGTTGACGATGTAGAACCAGCCCCAGGAGAGGCATTGGGGGAACTACTGATGCATTTGGAAGATTATACACCAACAGTGAGTATTTAGAGTTATTGAAGGTCCTTCCTTACTGAAAATAAAGACGAACGAAGTTTTCAGCGAATCTTGTCTGTAGATCGAAATTCTTAGTAGTCTTCGATGTAGAATTATCATTATTTTCGAAAAATCTTATATTTTCTTATCTTATATTCTCTTTTGTAACCCAATAACATAGGTACCCGATGCTGTGGCCGAACAATATTTGCATATGGCTGGATTTGAAGCGGTAGATCCCCGCATTGTTCGAATCATCTCAGTCACTGCACAAAAATTCATTTCTGACATTGCCAATGATGCCCTGCAACATTGTAAGACACGCAGCAATAGTCAACATTCTGGAAGTCACGGATCAAATAAGGTAATTATCTTAGAGATCTTATTAAAATACGCTATTAATTGTTATTTTGGTTTTAGGACAAAAAATCGAATAAAGATCGAAAATATACTCTCGCCATAGAGGATTTGACACCAGCATTGGCCGATCACGGCATTACTATGCGAAAGCCACAATATTTTGTTTAAATTACTATAAAAGGAAAACTTGAGATTAAATGAGACGAAATATGAATAAAAAGTATGCATAGAAATAATGGTATACATTCACATAAGATGTGGGGCCTGGCCGACCTTATATAGGCCATGGTTTCTGGTTTGCAAAATGTCTCTAGGCGTTCTTTCTGAGAAAAATTTTTTTTTTCAAAACGGTAATAAAAACCGTAGATGATGTCCTTTTTATACCCTACACCACATAGTGGTACGAGTATTGTCTTTTACATTTGTTTGCAACATGGAGAAGGATGCGAGATAGACCCATAGTTACTTTGGGGGATCTTCATAGAATTACCTTCTGAGTCGATTAATGCATGTCAGTCCGTTTGTCCGTGTTATTTTTGTGAAAAAAAACTGTTGTTCGCACTTTTTATCCGATTGAGATGAAATTTCGCAAACAATAATTGTTTGGCCCAATTTGTTTGGCGATTATCGGATTAGATTTAGATATAGCTCCCATATATCTTCAACCGATTTCGGCCAATATAAGTCCAAATGACCTGTATTTCAGTATATCCCACCTAATTCAGTCTAGCAGCAAGTCTATCAAATTTGGAGAAAATCGGTTCAGATATAGCTATAGCTCCCATATATATGTTTCATCCGATTTGGGGGTTTAAGTCCCGCACATGCGTAATATTCACTCCAGAAGAATGATATTTGGTACCGGAAATCAGATACTGCTCGAAAATGCCTCTGTCAAGTTTTATCGAGATCGGTTCAGATTGGGATATAGCTCCCATATGTATTTATCCGATATGAGGTTTATGGTGCCCAAATGGACTGAATATTAGCATTTACGATTGAATTCATAATATAAACCAGTAGTTCAAATTTGATGTAAATCGGATCAGATATAGCTGTAGCTCCCATACAGGGTGAGATGAAAAACCTGCAACTTCAGACTGCTGTCATTTCCAAGCCACTCGACCGACAGCTGTTAAAATTATTCCAGTGACAGCTCATTATATTGTTTACAAGCGTCGTTCTCGGCCCGTATTAATCGACCGTGGCATCAAAATAAATGCCGAATATTATCGCGAAAATATTCTGAACATTTTGGCCGCAGACCTTGGACATTCCAACAGGATTCAGCACCATCGCACTCACCACGCGCCACCCAGGAATGGTTACAAAATGAGGTTCTTCTCTTCATTTCCAGCACACAATGGCCACCAAAATCTCCGGATACCAATCCCTTGGACTATTGTCTCTGGAGTATTTTGGAAAGCAAGGTAGGCACTAAAAAATATGAAAGTGTCGATAACCTCAAGCAAGCCTCCCCCATAGTATGTAGGGTATAATAAGTGTATCATTCCGTTTGTAACACCTTGAAATATTCGCATTAGACCCCACAAATATATTGTTGATTAGCGATGTCTGTCCGTCTATCCGTCTGTGGAATCACTCTAGAATCCAAACGAAATAAAGTAGGTTGATAACATTTTACTCAAATGTATATTTGTTATATATCCCGGTCTGCTAGTAAAACAACTGTTGCCTTCAGGTAACTCATAACAACTGAGTCAAGGTAGATCTAACAGGTAACCGCATCGGCGAATTGCTACAACAAAGTAACTTTTGTGGTCCCCTCAAATGTCAAAATTGGCATCTAAGGCGAAAAACATAGATTCGCCATGACATTTAAAGGTTGCGGCAAATTTGTTTCAACCAATCAGAAACGAGGTGTTTGTTTACATTTTATTTTGTGTGCCTCTCGTCGTAAACGAACGTCGCAATTTATATTCAATAGAAAATATAGAAAAAATGGTTTAAAGAAAAAAAAAAAAAACATAGCACCAATATCGTTCTATGCAAAATCAGGGTACCAACACTCCGAAGCATATGGCCATACATTCACCACATATTCAATAGCAGCAACAGCAGGATATGAATATCAAAATCTCAATAATTTGGCCAATAGCCAACAACATAATATCCAGGAACAGAATCGCAAAAAATTGGATAGAATTCATTGGAGCCGAATTCTTGCACTACTTCCCGTGATGTGCTTTGGATTAAAATGGTCCATACAAATCATAGATGTTGGGGCTAACTTAATCCCTCAAGCTGCACTCCATTCTAACCTCCTTCCTTTGTCTTTAGGGACACTAAATAGTGTTAAATTTCCATCACAATATTTCTTATTGCAAATCGAGCACTTTTTCATTTTCTTTTAATTTTTTTACTGGTTTCACTCTAAACTTGCTCTTAAATTAATTATTAAATTATTTAGGGAAGAAAACATAAACAAATTTGTTGTTGCATTCATTTAGGGCGAATTCATCATTACAACAATTTGTTTTGACATTTAATGGTGCCGTCAGCTGGGCTGATGCGATTACCTAGTACATCTACCTTGAACTGAGTGATGGTGTTTATTACATATGCTTACATCGATAGTAGTTTAGTAGTTATTGAATACGTAACGTATACAACACCTCTCCCCTCTCTTATAACAAAAATAATAAAATGAATTCAATAAAATACTATTAGCTAAAAACTCCGAACACTAATACCTTTCAATCCGTATCGATAACATAATCATTTAGTCGATGAGGTCGCCGTATATTCCTCCTAGGATTCGTTCTTATGTTGACTGCCTCGCCATTCCCTGCTGGCTCTTCAAATCCGATGAATGCTGACCCCGGAGAACTTGGAGGCGTTGCGAAGGACTGATCTCGATTGTCTGACATCACGCATTCGTCTGTTGCTTCTCGTTCCGCATTACTCATACTTGTAGGGTTCTCTCTCTTCTCCAAAGTCAAATCTGATGGCTCATAACTAGCACTATGTGTTTCCTCAACTTCGTTATCCAGCATTACTCTGCCATTAATCTTTCTCAATTGATCAATGTGTCTGTTCCAACACCTACCATCTTCCAGCCTCACTTTGTAATGCAAATCACCAATTCTCTCTCTTACTATTCCAGGCTTCCACTTAAGCTTATCCATATAATCCCGAGCCATTACAGCGGCTCCTACTGCTAACTCTCTTGTAGTTTTTTGTCTTTCGGGGTCTCGGACTTCATTGTTGGGCAGTAGGAGGTCCAATCTGCTTTGTATTTGTCGCCCAAACATTGTCATAGCTGGTGATTTATTCGTGACCGGGTGAATTGCTCGTCGATATGCCAATAAAATTTGATCAATTTTTCGCTGTAACTCCTCCTTACGAGGCATTGCCTTCAACTTGGTCTTGAAAGTTTGTATAAAACGTTCTGCTTGACCATTCGTTGCAGGGTGGTACGGTGCCCCCAACTTATGCATGATACCATTTTGTTTTAAAAACTCTTGAAATTTCGCGCTTTTGAACTGCGTCCCGTGGTCGCTGACTAGAATGTTTGGTATTCCAAATTGCGCAAATATACTTCTACATACTTCGATTGTTGTCTCCGTGGTAATGTCTCGAACTATCCTTACCTCCGGCCATTTACTAAAAGCATCCACCAGTACAAAAAAATATTTGCCCAAAAAGGGACCAGCGTAATCCACATGCACCCTTTCGAAAACTTTCTTCGGAGGTAACCAGCAATGAACCGATTCTTTCTTTACATCTGGTCGCCCGATCTGGCATTCATAACAGTCAGCAACCGCTTTTTCAATGTCCTTATCTAAATTTTTCCACCAACAATACGCTCTGGCAAGTGACTTCATTTTTGATACACCAAAATGTCCCGAATGTAATTCATGTATTATTTTAGTTCTCAGCGGTTTTGGCACATACACTCTTATGCCTCTTAATAAGCATCCTTGTTGCAAGCTAAATTCGGATGGGTCGATTCCAAAACTGTCGGCAGGATCACACTTCCGGCCATATGACAAACTGTCTACTAAACGTCTTACTTCCGCATCTTTTTTTGTGGCTTGTCCTAATTCCTTGACGGTGATTGGCAAATTCTCAATTAATTCCATTTCAATTTGATCAATCTCGCTGATTGTTTTGCTGCATTCATTTACAGGAAGCCTCGATAGCGCATCTGCATTCCCATTCTCCTTAGATTTACGCAAACGAATCTTGTAATCAAAAGATTCCAGGAATACTGCGTAATGTTGCATACGCGTTGCAGACAATACCGGTAATCCCTTGTCAGGCGCAAAAATCTGTGATATTGCTTTATTGTCGGTAATTAAAGTAAATTCCCTTCCATATACATATTGGAAAAACTTTTTTACCCCGAATATTACTGCGTATGCCTCCTTGTCTACTTGGCTATACCGTCTCTGTGTTGCATTTAAAGTTTGCGATGCAAACTGTATAGGTCTTTCCGTTCCATCGCCAAATTCGTGACTCAATACGGCTCCCACACCCGTAGGGCTCGCATCCACTGCCAATGTTAATTTTTTTCTTGGATCATAATGTGTCAGCACCACCTCTGATCCCACTTGTCTCTTTACTTCTTCGAAAGCCCATTTACATTTAGCATCAAAATTAAATGGAACTTCTTTGTGCAGTAATCGATTTAGAGGGTAAACTATAGAGCTCAAATTTTTTATAAAACGACCATAATAATTCACTAGTCCCAAAAATGATCGAACTTCGTCCTTGGTTGCCGGATATCTCATTTCTTGAATAGCCTTAATCTTGGCTGGTATCTTACGAATTCCTTGTCGATCAATCACATAACCACAATACTCAATACTCTCTCGCAGAAATTCCGACTTAGCAAGATTTATTCGCATATTGTATCGGTCTAATCTTTTTAACACCTCTTCTAACCGGTCTAAGTGTGTCCTCTCATCCTTGGCTGTTATTTTAATGTCATCCAGGAACACCTTAACACCCGGTATATCCGCTAATAACTGCTCCATTAATCTTTGCCACTGAGACGGGGCGCTAGCAACGCCAAACATTAATCTTGTTGGTTGAAATAATCCTTTGTGTGTGCTCAGGGTTAAGAACTTTTGGTCATCTGGATGTACTTCTAACTGCAGATATGCCTTGGACAAGTCAATCTTCGAATATTTTTCACCGCCTGCCATTGTACTAAACAATTCGTCGACTGTAGGCAATGGGTGCTTGTCCACCACTAAGACCGGATTGA